GAGAGGTTTTTCTCCCTGTCTCGGAATGCTAGCAACAGAGGCCATCCAGAAGCAGAAGGGAAGAAGATTCAAAGCAGACAAAAGAAATAACAAAGCATATAATTAATTAGTAGAAATGATTACCTCAAGATGTGGGTAAAGGCCATATCTTGGATGGCTTTCAAAGGGCATGGAGGTTAATGGAGGATGGATCTATCAAGAGCTATTACACTAATTATTTCTAGATTAAAAGTAGCATGTTTCTGAATATATGTTGCAGGGAGTCGACAGTGATTTGAGAGGGCTATTTCTCCCTCTTTGGCTCTCCACAGGCCACTATAACAAACAAAATGTTGGATTAGAATATGACTTGGCCTGATCCTACATAATTGGGTTTTACATTATTTTTATTTCCAAAAATTCTTCTGTCCATAAATATTTTTAGAAAATAAAAGTATCTTATTGCCTATTTGTTCAGGAACAACAAATAAGTGAACTGGGAAAGCAGAAAGCACCCTGAGAGCTTCTGGGAGTGATTACCATTTTGTTATCTGATAATGTTAGCAATGCATAGGATGCTGCTCTGAACCTAGAGGATCTTCAAGACTAATAGTCATTGATAGATTTGCCCTCCATGATTTTATTCAATGTGCCATGCAAATTAGTGGCCATTATTGTCTTGTGGTAATGAATTCCACAGGTTAAGTATGAAGTAATGACTGAAAATGTATAGCAATATTAGTAGTGAATGCAATAGTCCAGGCACTTCCATTTAGGATAGTCTTGTGGTGTCAGCTTACAAATCGCCAAAAATGTACTTCCAACTTCTGTATTTACTTTTCAGCATTGGTCTTCCACTGTAGAAGAGACTGACCAAGCCAGAGGGAGGAGTCAAACTGGGACTTAGTCTAGAATCCCTATATGGGCCCAACAGGCTGAAGTCTGACTTTCCCTTTTGAATGCTGTTGAATCTTATCCAGTTTTACCCAACTGCAAACCGTTAGTCTGAGAAGATTCTTGTGTAGAGACTTGAACAATAAATCAGCTAATTGAATTCTTCACATGTGGACCCGGTTGTTCGCTCCTGACACCCACGTATTTAAAAGCCAGAATAATAAGAACTTCCTAGTTTCGTGATGTGAAATAATATTACTGTTCATGTACTTGTTTCCATGAGTCTGGCACTGCATTCATCCATCATGCCCAGCCAATATTTACTTCCTCAGTTTGTTAAATAAGTTATAACTGGTTGGGTGCAAGCAACACATTAAACCACATAGTAGAGTATAAACCACAATGGTTAAGCTCATTCAAGTTGCTAAACCAAACCCAAACAAATCACATTATAGTTTAGCACATTAGGTGAACCTAGTCTGGAATTAATTTCAAAATACTCTGGGGTAAGCTGCGAATTATGTTTTGGTATCTATGAGGTTTTTCTCTCCTGCAGTGCAAATAACAACTTTGGATGAGCAATTTTCACGAGGATTACAGTATGAGAGGTTAAATTTCCTCCTTCTCTAATTCCACTGTTTGTCTTCTGGACTATTAATCTTTTTTTTAATGTAATGCAATTTACCTTTTTTAATGCTTGAAATGTATAGATTAATTTAACATTTTGACCTTCAGCAATTTGTCAACTGTGTTTGAACAGCATGATGAGCTAATATGTGGCTAGTTAATTTGTGGGTTGATAATATATATGTATCTGGTTAGGGTGATTTATTATTTAAGTCTAATACATGCTCCTGACTATAAGTAATAGAACTTAGAATAATAGAGTTGGAAAGGACTTTGGAGGTCTTCTAGTCCAACCTCCTGCCCATGGCAGGAGATCCTATACCATTCTGGACTTTCTTTGGGTTTGATGGGATGAATACAATCATAGAAAGAATAACAGAACAGAATAATAGAACTGGAAGGGACCCTGGAGGTCCTCCAGTCGATTCCCGCCCCCCAAGCAGGAAACCATACTCCATTTCAGACAAATGGCTGTCCAATCTCTTCTTAAAAACCTCCAGTGATGGAGCACCCACAACTTCTGGATGCAAGCCATTCCACTGGTTAATTGTTCTGTCAGGAAATTTGCTTTCCTGTCAGGTTGCTTCTCTTCCTGATTAGTTTCCATGCATTGCTTCTTGTTCTGTCTTCAGGTACTTTGGAGAATAGGTTGACTCCCTCATGTATTGGAACACTGCTATCATGTCACCCCTAGTCCTTCTTTTCACTAGATTAGACATATCCAATTTCTGCAGCTGTACTTCACGTTTTAGCCTCCAGCCCCCAAATCATATTTGTTGCTCTTCTCTGCACTTTTTCTAGAATCTCAACATCTTTTTTTATATTGTGACAACCAAAACTGGATGCAATATTCCAAGTGTGGTCTTACCAAGGCATTATAAAGTGGTACTACCACTTCACGTGATCTTGATTCTATCCCTCTGTTAATGCAGCCTAGGACTGCATTGGCTTTCTTGGCAGCTGCAATGTACTGCTGGCACATATTTAAGTGGCTGTCCACTAGGACTCCTAGATCCCTCTTACAGTTGCTGCTATTGACCCAAGTTCCACCTCCCCCCACCCAAACTATGGACCACTCCACTTACTAGTCTTTTGGAAGTCTATGAAGACCTAGTTCCTCCTCCATGTATTGGGGATGGCTGTTAGTTTGGAAGTTCCAGCATGGGTGTGTGACAGAGATGTTTTGTGTTTTTAATGGACTTCAACCTGGATTTTTGTTTGTTTTATTGCTGATACTGTATATGGCATGTTCTACATCCAGAGTTTCATTGGATAGATAAGTAGCCTTCAAATTTGATTATTTATTAGATTTTTATCTCATCTAGGCATCCATCTGATCTTTATATGATACTGGGCAGCTTATAATAAAATTAAATAAAATACACAACCTAAAAATAAAAAAAATTTGATTTATGTAGCCTTCCATCTCACCTTTATGACTCTAGGCAGCTTACAATAAAATAAAATAGATACATAATGTAAAAAATAAAAATATTAACTTGCAGTAACAACTTTCACAAAGTGAAGTGGAATACCTTTGGATGGCTCTGGGAGAGGGGGGTAGGTTTAGTCCTAGATTATCTGAAATAACTTTTTGGGAGGGGGTTAATTCATGGTTAATTTTAAATCTTATTACATTATTTTCACTAATGAGACAGGACAGTACTTATTGTAGTTGTGGCTGAGTTGAGCGGCTTTATAAATCTTTAAATCAATCAATCAGATTCAAATTACCAGAGAACCACGAAGCTTTGCTGTACAAACTATACAAGAAGGGACAGGGGGAAGGGACCTCCTTTGATATTAATTTCTGAATGATTAATAAGTTTAAAACGGAATGTTTTGAATAGATTCTTGATTTTGTGTATCATCTTCACCCGTTAAAATGTTTTGCGTGCAAAACTGTTTTAGAAACCCCGTTCACCGGAAGGCAGTTACAAAAAATATGACAGATGATTTTTAAAAAAAGCGAAAATGCAGCGTAACGATCTATGTGAAACCGAAAGTTTCATCGTATTTGCATAACTTGGAAAGCGTGGGAGAAAGACGAAGAGTAATGCTGCCCCGTCTTCCTTTGCCAAACTTTTAGGGTTATAGAAGTCTAAACCAGGATGCTTCTGCCCTTCCCAAGATGGCGGCTGGGCCGGCGAATACATAAATAAATAAATAATGCCTCCGCCGCATGCTCGTACGCTCTCCCAGCGCTTGATTGCTCGGGCGCGCGCCGGAGCGTCTCAGCCCTGCTCCCTGCACGAGTTCGACCTTCCAAACATGGCGGCCACGCCATCGCTGGGCAATCCGAGCTGAAAGAAGAAAAGACGAGGAAGCGCAAGCCCCCGTCTGCGAAGAGCGCATGCGCTGAGGGAGTTGTGCGCCTGCGTGTCGCGGCGCCCGAGTGCAGTGAAATTCCGTGAAGGGGGAGGAGAAAGAGAGAAGGGGGGGGGAAGAGAAAAGAAAGCTGAGGGGAAGGTGCTGGAGCGGCAGACGCGGGGCGAGCGGCAGCGTTGAGCGCCCTCCCGCGCGCTTTCTTCTGCCTCCCCCCCACATACACACCTGGTCCGACGCTGCTCCCGAATCCCCTCAGAATAGTTTCTCCTCGTACTTCCCCCTCCCCCTTATCCCCCTCCCTCCCCCCGCGGCGGAGGGACTCGCGGCGCTGCTGTGGCGGCGGCGCCGGCGCTGAGAGGACGGGCGGGCAGGCAGGCCCCCGGCGGCGGGGTCGGCGCGAGCGGGGAGGGACGAGGGCTCGCCGGCTGGCTGGCTCGAGCCCGGCAGTCGTAAGAGCGGGAGGATTAGCAGCAGCAGCTGCGCCGCCGCCGCCGCCGCCGCCCCAGACTCCCTCCCCGGACACCGGCGGGGAGAATGACGGAGCTCCAGTCCGCGCTGCTACTGCGGAGACAGCTGGCAGGTACAAGAAGGGACAGGGGGAGGAGGTATTCCAGGGCCGTCTCTGAGACCCGCTGGGCTGAAGCGTGGTTGTAGGGAAGTCCGAGCCGGGAGGAGGGGGCCGGCTTTGAAACGTGGTCGAGGAGGAGGAGGAGAAATGGGGAACTCTGTGAGGCGGGCCGGTGTGGGGAGGGGGGGGCGGGGGCGGGGGCGGGAGACTTTCCAAAAGAAAGTAGGAGTTGGGGTTAGGGCTGGGGTAATTGCGAGGTAAGACGCGGGGTAGGTTAAGAAGAGGGCTTGGGGCGGAAGGGACCGGGGTTCGGGTCAAAAGAGAGCCGGAGAAAAGTGTCTTTTGTGCCTAAGGGCGGAAGACTGGAAATTTCCCGAAGAGAGGCAGTAACTTAATGTATTTCTGGGTGGTGGTGGAGGAAAATATAAGGGCATCGGGGGGGTCTTGATGTTTTTTTATAGAGGGAGGGAGGAAAGGGAGCCTTGGAAATGGAGGGAGGTTTAAATATTGCCAAGGTAGGAGGGCCCCAGGGGCAGCGATGGGCAGCTAGGCAGTATGATGGCGAAGAGTTGGGAGGCGTGGTGCGACCAGGAGATAGATAGATAGCGGGGCCAACGTGTTTAATGAGGGAGGAAGTAGAGAGTTGCTCCAAGTTGGGTAAAGAGTTGTGTTACTCCAAAGACTAGAAAGGGTGAGTGATCTGGAAGGAATGAGGGATAGGGAAAGGGAAGGAGAGGTCATTGGAGTCATAAGAGCCGCTGGGCATTGGTGTGGTGTTACCGTCGGAGAGAGCAAGGCGTCTGTAAATCGGTTGGGAGGAAGCCCTAATGGTAAGTAAAGGAGTCAGGGGTTGAGTCTTGAAGTAACTAACAGCCTCTTTGTGGAAGTTGAAGATTCAAAGAAAGTGCCTCGCTGGCTTTTCAACAGTGTCTAATCTTCCTCAGCCTTTTTAGTGCAGAGGCTGGCAGGAGGGGGGGGGGGTTGAATCTGGAGCTGTTAGAAAGGGGGAGTGGCTTGGAGTATGCAGAGGAAAGCTGGAGGTGCAGAGGCCTGAGTCCCAGACGGGAAATGAAAAGTGGTAAGATGTTTCTCGGTGTTATACCGATCAGTTTTATTACCTCTGTGTAAGGTCATGAGGGGAGCTGGAAAATAATAACCCAGACGGAAATAGATATTTTGGGGAGATACTTGAGAATCTGAGGTAAAGTCTAACAGTTTCAAGCCACTGAGAATTAACTAAGAGGGCCAGAATGAGGAAAAGCTGGAAAGGAAAAAAAAATAGGTTAAAATTTAGGATACCCTAAATAAAGGAAAAGATGCCCTCTAGTCAGAATACCCAGTTTCTCATAACTGAAAAATGTATTTTCTCCAGTAGTATTATAAAAGTGACTTATTTAGTGTTGCTTTCTGGGATATGTTTTAACTTCACGGGTAATCAAAACCTCTGGAATTCTCAAATGGTCCTCATTAGGATATTTTGGGTAAATGATATAGATTGTTGAATGGCGGGGACGGGAAACAAAAATGTCTTGTGCAGTTTAAGGTAGCATGAATGTTTGATGTGTAAAGAGCAGGTGGAAGATGAGGATATGATAAACTTAACAACTAAGAATGTAGAAGTTATTAGGCAGTAACTAGAAGACTCAATCAAAGATAGAAAAAACTTTGTTTCGGAAAGAGAAAACCTAGTGAGTTAAGTACATTGTCTGCATAAGACAAACAGGAGAAAACAAGAGTTCTGTGATCCTATGGAAGATGTTTGGCTGTTGTGTATAATGCTTTATTAAGATTACACTTTAGACATTAGAAGATTCATTAATAGCTACTGGGTTCACCTGTTTAATATGCAGTCAAACAGATCTTATCTGTCTAGAGAAGATTTGTGAGCTTCTGTCTTGAATGTCTCCTCCTGTGCAGTGCAAAATGAGATTGTACATTGCCTGTTTTGAACAAAGCAGACAGAGTAAAGCTGACATCTGTGGAGTACAGTATTGGGGTGGGTTGCAGGGGGATTAATTATCATTGTTTCAAATTCATAATAGGGGAGCTATTGCAGTCTTCAACTTTGGGGTTACTGCCAAGTCTATTCCTGGCTGTAACTGGGAATAAAGAAGGACATAACTTATCGGAGATCTTACCTGGAAAATTGGTGATAGAACCTGAAACCTAAAAGAGGATTGCATTATGAACTTAGGGGCATTTGTAATATATTACCGGTTTCATTTTTTTATTTCCATCTACAGTTATTCTTTCCCCCTTTTTCTTTGTCCCTTGACTGACCAATCTTGCTTGACTAACATTTTAGCAAGTAATGGTGGGGGGAGGAGCACGGCCGAGCTTGGTCTGTCCTAACAATTATATCAGACATGTAAGTATGTTGCCTGTATGGTTAGAGAGACATTGCATATCTAGTAGCTCCATACTGTGTGCTACTCACTGCCATATTAAAAGGGAAAAAAGCAACAGCAATGTGAAGATAACAGAATGTGTCAGTTCTTTTTCTCACTTCGTGAGTCTATAGACTTTTTTAAAACGTGCGCATCCATGGCTTCTGATTTCTCCTGTCAGGAAGTTGAATCTCCTAATTAACATATTTTCTTAAAGTTCGATGAATCAAACCTGAACACTTTTTTCTTTTCTGGTATATAAACTATTTTAATTTATTATAAACAGAGATAAGGGATAGTATGATCTGTACAAAAAGGCTTTGACTTAAAAGCACTGAATGGCTACATAAATTAAGAATAAATTCCTGCAGTAGTGTAAAATAAAGAACTTATTAAATATTATGGAAGAATTATTTCTGCATGAAAATAGTCCATAGCTATTCCAACACAAAGTGTCTTCTAAAGTTATACAGTATTTAAACTTACAGATGTGATAAAGAAATGCAATCATTTGCAAAAAAAAGTTACCTGCCCTGTTTTAGTCAGAACCAAAATAGGGCAGATAACTTTTTTCAGCAAAGGATTACATTTTTTTTTACTGTTTTGCGATATAGATATATGTTTACATGGAATTTCCTTTTCAGTGAATTGTGGATATTTGGGAAATTTAGTAAATACAGGTAGTTCTTACAACCATTTGTTTAGCAACCTTTTGAAGTTTCAGTGTCACTGAAAAAAAATGACTTCAACTGGTCCTCACACAACTGTCGCTGCATCCACATGGTCACATAATCAAAGTTCAGGCACTTGGCAACGGGCATGGTAGTTACAACAGTTGCAGTGTCTGGGATCATGTGATCACCATTTGTGACCTTCCTACCGTAGCTGCCTTCCAACAAGCAAAGTCAGCCGGGGAAGCCAGATTTGCTTAATGATTAATAACTGCAGTGATTTGCTTAAAAATGGCAAAAAAGGTTGCAAATCAGGCATTACTCACTTAACAACCACCTGCTTACCGATGGAAATTCTCATCACAATTATGGTCATAAATCAAGGATTATATAAACACCTAGAGAAATACCAAGCTGTATAGTGTGCTTAAATGTGTGTGTGTGTCCCCAAAAATGGAGATCTACTTCTTTATCAGTGTTAAAAATATATGAATATTTGCTCTTGAAGTTTTCAGGAGGAAAGCTTGATATGAAGAAGCTTTTATGCTGAACTGTGATGGAGCAATTCATTGGGTAGCTTCAGGCATTGCCGAAAAGGAGGCTAAAAGGCTACATGGCCTTTATACTTCTGCTTTTTATCTACCCTCATTCAGCAAATCAAATATGGTGACACAGTAGTAAAATAACCACTTATTTTTAATGTACTACAAGAAATTGCAACAACTATCAGATGATTTGTATAACAGTATTGAATCTGGAGCACACTTAACTTTACAACATGTAAAATATCATAAAGCTATACATCTGGAAACCAGAGTATCTGGCCCTACACAGTTAAATAAGAACAAGAAAGTCATTTTAAGAAAAAAATCTGAATTATGATTCCTGTGTTCTTAATTGTTTCACTACTGTTGATATAGAGCAGGCATGTCAAACTGCCGGCCTGTGAGCTGGATGCATCATACTGAAACCATGCCCACCCCATTGCCGACAATGGGGAAAAAGTCACGATACGTTGCACAATGTCACGTGACGTCGTGAGTTTGACATGCCTGATATAAAGAATGTGCTGAGAGTTGTTGCCATTATCATAATACTGATAACCTGTAGTTTGGAGACTTTTCCAGGGTATTAAAGTAATTATGCTAGTCTGCTTAGGTGACTAGATAAAATTATTGTGGCTTCTTTCAAGGCTGGAATAAACTGAAGCAATCAGTCTACATGGATATAAATAGGATAGTTTATCCTTTGAATGCTACAGGATGACTAGGTATACACAATTCATTAAGCTATATTTGGGTTTTGCTTGGCATTTTGTGTTTTAATAAGTTGTGATTAAATTATGGCTTACTGCAATATGTGGATCAGTTTGATGACTCTTATAAGAAACACTCCATCCTTCCCAAACATATGCTAGAATTCTGGCTGATGATTCTTGATCAGAGTTGCTATTCCTTTAATAGAGACCTGGATTCAGTGCTACCTAGTAGGCATGTGAAAGGCCCCAAGTTAAATCCTTTGTATAAAACTGGAGGTACATTTTGTAGCCATTGCTTTGGAGAAATGCTGTCAGTTGGATCAGTGATCAGAATTGGCATTAGAGAACTTATGTTCCTAATACTTTAAACCTTTTCAATTTAGGAGTTATATCTAGTATTCTCTGAAATCTAGTTTTAATTGAATATAAGGTAATATTGTAGCAGAACCTTGTTACACAACTCATTATAGTACAGTGAAACAAGGGGGACTAGATAACAAAGACATCCAAATCATAAAGAATCTGTATTGGCATCAGGTAACAAATGTGAGACTAGGCCAAAAATACTCAGCTGATGCAGAAATAAGAAGAGGGGTTAGACAGGGATGTATTCTGTCTCCACTGTTGTTTAATATCTACTCTGAGTCAATCTTCAACGAGGCACTGGAGAACATCGATGCTGGCATCAAAGTAAACGGTGTTTGGATCAACAACTTAAGATATGCTGACGATACAGTTCTGCTTGCTGGTAAGCATGAAGACCTTCAGCTCCTCATCAACAGAGTCACAGAAATATCTGAAAAATATGGCTTGAAGCTTAACACCTCAAAAACCAAGATCATGGTCGTCAGCAAACAATTCATTAATTTACCACCAATAAATTCAAAAGGAATACCACTAGAAAAAGTTGAAAGGATCACGCACTTCGGTTCTAATCTACATGAAAGCTGGGACATGATCACTGAAGTAAAGACAAGGATAGAGAAAGACAAGCTCGAACAGCATTCTTCAAAATGAAAAAGGTCTTCTGCAGTCACGACATAAGCCTAAGACTGAACATCAGGCTTGTCAGATGCTATATTTTTCCTATCCTGCTCTATGGAATAGAGAGTTGGTCTCTGACAGAAGGCCACCTGAAGAGACTAGAAGCATTTGAAATGTGGATTTACAGGCGGCTGTTACGTATAAGCTGGGTTGACAAGATCAGAAATGAGGTGATAAGTCGCCTGGGAAAGCCAAGGGAAATCATCAAAACAATTAAAAAACAAAAATTAGAATATTTCGGACATGTGATGCAACACCCAGAAAAATACGGCATACTCCATTTAATCCTCCAGGGAAAGATTGAAGGCAAACAAGGTCCAGGCAGAAGAAGAACATCGTGGCTTCAAAATCTAAGGGACTGGTTTGGACAAAACTCAGCAGCACTTTTTCGTGCGGCTCTGATAAAAACAGGATCGCCAACATGATCGCCAACGTCCGATAACGGATATGGCACAAGAAGAAGAAGAATA